GAATGGGCGGGCCTCGCTTCTGTCGTGTGCGGTTCAGCAGGGCCTGTGGAGGAGAGGGCAGCAGAGCTACTACTGGGCATGGGAGAGGGCTTGCCCCAGGGGAAGCTTTCTCTTTCTCGTGTCCCCCCATCCCATTGCCTCCCTGACCCTCTATACCATTGCCCCTTGGCCCTGCCCCTGTTGGCCAGCCCTCCGTCGACACCTTAGAGGGCTAGGTTCTCGTCCAGGGAAAGCGGGGCAAGTGAAAGGCACGAGTTCAGCACTTCCCCCTTGATGCGGAGGAGGAGGAGGCTCCCCGTAAGACCAGGATGGTGGCCTCTGATGCCAAGCCTTCCGTCACACTCCCTGATAGTGTCCAACACCTAAAGCCGCCTGGGGAAGTCATGGCAGCATCGAGAAGCAGTACCGCCCCCCTTCTGGAGTCCCCTTGTAATCTGCGCCCCCCGTCAGTACCGAGGCGAGTGTTGCCTCGGTTGCTGGCGGGGAGGATCCAAGGGTAGCAGGTGGGGACTTCCATTCCATCTTCGAGGAGATCAAGGCCCTGGGTCTGACCCTGGTCACCCTGGGGGAGGACAGCCCCCAGCCAGCAGGCCTTGATCTGGGCGGCAGTTCAATTACACTAATAAATCTCCAGGCATGGATGGGCTGACCATGGAGTTCTACCGTGTGTTCTCGGATGTCCTTGTCCCGGACCTCGTCACCGTCTGGGCCGAGTCCTTGGAGAGCGGGGTCCTCCCCCTGTTGTGCAAGTGAGCTGTGCTCGCCTTGCTACCAAAGAAGGGGGACCCCTGCGACCTTCGGAATTGGCATCCTGTCTTGCTCCACAGCACAGACTGCAAAGTCGTAGTGAAAGCCATCTCGCTGCGGCTGGAGTCCATGCTGCGGGGCGTGGTCCATCCTGACCAGACCTACACCATCCCGGGCCGCTCCATCTTTGAAAACCTGTATTTGGTCTGGGACCTCTTGGAGCTCAGGTGTAGGGAGGGTCTGTCATTCGCCCTCCTGTCCCTGGACCAGGAGAAAGCATTCGACAGGATGGACCCCGTGTATCTCCTGGGCACTCTGTGAGCGTTTGGCTGCGGATCCCAATTTGTGGGTTTTCTCCAGGTGCTGTATGCCTCTGTGGAGTGTTGGTCAGGCTCAACTGGACCCTGACCGAACCAGTCAGCTTTGGGCGAGGGGTACATCAGGGGTGTCTGCTGTTGGCCCAGCTGTATTCTCTGGTGATCGAGCCCTTCCTCTGTCTCCTCCACCGGAGGTTGACAGAGTTGATGCTCCAAGAGCCGCAGTTGTGGCCGGTCCCATTGGCGTACACTGATGACGTGCTTCTCGTGGTCCAGGACCCAGGCACCCTGGTGCAGGTGGAGGCCTGCCAGGTGATCTACTCAGCGGCCTCCTTTGCCTGGGTCAACTGGGTCAAGAGCTCTGGCCTGATGGTCAGGGATGGGTGGCAGACGAGCTCCCTCCCACCCGCGCTTCAAACCATTCAGTGGAGCGCGGGTCCACTGCTCTATTTCAGCATTTATCTTTCTGCCACACATCCTTCTCTGCTGGAGAAATGGCAGGTTTTGGAGGGTAGGGTGGGTGAGCGGCTGCGGAGATGGACCAGGACTGCTCCAGTGCCTCTCCCTGCGAGGGAGAGCAGTGGTGCTTAACCAGCTTGTCCTATCCATGCTCCGGCACCGGCTCAATACCCTGATCCTGGTCTCGGGTTTCCTGGCCCACCTCCAGAAGATAGTTCTGGAGTTCTTTTGGCCAGGACTGCACTGGGTCTCTGCAGGGGTCTTGAGTCTTCCCCTGGAGGAGGGAGGAAAGGCCTGATCTACCTTCGCACTCAGGTCCATGTCTTCTGCCTTCAGGCCCTGCAGAGACTTCTTTATGGTGCACGTAGTCCGGAGTGGAGCACTCTGGCGCACGCCTTCCTGCGCCACTTCCGAGGGCTCTGATATGACTGGCAGCTCTTTTCTCTCCATTCGAGATATCTTCTGCAACACCTCTCCGGGCTGCCGTTCTTCTACCAGGACCTCCTCCGGACCTGGAAGCTGGTCTTGGCAACCAGGTCCGTGGCGGCCGCTGAGAGGGTAGATCTCCTCGCGAAGCCCCAGCTACACAATCCCCAACTCACCGGGGCATCTTCTGAGCAGCACCCTCTTTTTTCAGCCGGGCAGCTCTGCGCTTGCAGAAAGGGGGGGAGGCAGTGGCATGTGACTCCATGTACCCCCATGCCTGCCTCTGTTTGGGGGCAGTGCCCCCCAAACTAAATCCATAGGTGTTCTCAGCACCAGCACTGCTGCAGGCTCAGCCCATAGGTGTTCTTTGCTTCTCGGTCACTTTTGAAAGGGAAGGGAAGGAAAGAAATCTGCAGGGGATCTGTTTTCATTCCCCCAGGAGTACCCCATGCAGAACCTGCACTGCCCAGTGCCCCACTGCCCCCAGACCATCCAGAGACTCACTCCCCCATGCCCTTCCTGCCTCCCAGCCACACTCACTGGTCTGCTGGAAGTGACTACGTCCATGCATGGGCTGAGCCTGCAGCACTGCTGGTGCCAGTCAGGGATCCCTCTGACCCTCAGAAGCAGCACAACCAGCCAGGACAGAGTGGGAGCCTGGCCTGCCCCAGCCAGACTCCTTCAGGACCCACATGCCTGGAGGGGCCCAGCAGGGCCGTCCGTAGAAATTGTGGTGCCCTACGCAGGCCCCCCCCCATAGGGTGGTCAGCTGGCCCCAGGCCAGGTGATTGCAGGGCGGGCCCGACCCTGCACTCATGGGGCAGCGGGAAGTGGAGTGACCTGGCCCCAGTCCGCTCTGCTCTCCTGGCTCCCAGCCTTGGGACTGTGGGGCAGGGGGGAACCGCCCCCCAGCACTCACTGGCGGGATGTAGCTCAGGGGAAGGGGTGGAGTGGGGGCGGGGCTGGGGCAAAATGGGTGGGAAGAGGCGGGGCGGAGGAGGGGCGGGGGCAGCTTTCCTGGCCGGCTCAGCTGGCTGGGGGATTGGGCTGGAGCAGCAAGTCCGGATAATGGGGCCCCTTTTTAGTGTGGGCCCGGCGCCATGGTAAACCCAGTACTGCCTTCATGGAGCCGTGAGCACGGGTGTGTATTTGACATGGTTCTCCCCACACCTCTTTATATATGCACACCTCATCCATGTCCCCAAAATGTCACGGGACCTCCTTGTCAACTTCCTCCTAGCGATGGCCAAGGTGGCTGTCTATAACACCAGGGAGAGGATGTTGGCTGAGGGGGTTCTCTGCGACTGTGGGGCCTAATTCCGATCCTCCTTCCATTCATGCATCTGGGCAGAGTTCCTCTGGGCCACGTCCACCTGGCTCCCTTGACACCTTTGAGGAACAGTGGGTGCTGTCCAGGGTTCTCTGCTTGGTGTCCCCTTCAGGTTCCCTGTTTTTGACCCTTTGACCTTCACACCGTCCTTGTTATTTTTTTCATTGTCCCCTGTAATTACTTGAGTTTCTGGACTCTGGATTCTCCCCGTAGGCTGGGGGAGGGTCCTTTAGCTGTGGGTGAGCATCCACTTCCCTGGAACCCAATAGGAACACCCTCTTGCAGCTGGCCGGCCTGACTTTGTCACTACTGAAAGGTCAGCTGTGGATGTTTCCCAACCTCACAACATATCTCAGTAACATATATAGCAATACTTCATAACTTCACATTCAATTATAGTACATACAATTCAATAGGATATTAAGGTTCAACAGATCAAGACTTTTAAAACGATACTTCAGAAGGCATGCATTGTACAAAACATATCATAATCACATGATAATGGTGAATATGGGGGTTCCAGCATGCTACTTTGTGGTACTGAGTGTCACAGAGGTCCAGTTTGAGACATGTTGAGATGGCATCTGGATGTTCAGGGAGAGATATTGGAGAAACACTGAAGATGGATAGGGAGATGTGGAAGTCATCAGTATAGAGTTGATAGCAAACTCTGGAGAATGACTGAGAGGGTATGGTAGAAAGGGATTGAGAACAGGGTCCTGTAGAATAGTGGCAGAGAGAGGGAAGAAGATGGGAAAGAGAGAGAGCAAATGGATGCCAAGTGATATGTGGCAGCAATGAACAGGGTGAAAAGACAAGATGGGGTCCCAGGCAAGAGTCTGTCATAAATGGGAAGAAGGGGACATAACTCCAAAATGTTCAGAACCACAGAACTATATAAACGAAGCCCTTATGTGGACTCATGGAAACCTGTCAAACAGGTTATGCTATATAATTAGGGCCCTTTGTTTCTGGTTTTTATTTTGTTTAAAATTCCTAGGAAAGTTAGTGTTTAGTACACGTATTTAAAAAAGGGGTGAAAATCAGTGGCAAAAATTAACTTCACAGTTTTCTGGGTAATTGTCGGGATTAATAATGGGGAATGAGAGAACACAACCCCCCTCCCACCCCTGCCCAGAAAATAGAGAAGAAGGCCAGTGGGTTAGCAGGAGAAATGGACAGGGACTATCACCGGGCTCCCTGTCCATCTTGCTCCCTCACTGCACAGGGGAAGCAGATGTGGCTGCACTCAACAGCTGGGGCCATCAGGGGGCTCTGTCCAACTGGGGGGCCAAATTGCAGCCTTTCACTCCCTGTGGGCCTGTTGCTTCAGTGCTCAGGTGGTCTCAGCTGCTGGGACCAGACTTCCTGCCTGTCTTGCTGCCCCACTGTGCAACTGTAGCAGTCACCAACCAGAGGTTACTCTCTTCTGTGCAGGCACCCTGTGCCTGAATACTGAATTTTTCAGAGAAATTCAGTAAAAAGCAAAAATGAAGGGCCCTATGTGTGATATGTGTAAAATTGTTAGTAACCATTTTGCTGTTTGCCTTTTATTATGTTAATATTCCTAGTAATATCTCCCTGTTTCTCTTTCTCTGAATGTCAATAGTATTGTTCTCTTCAGCCATCTGGCATAGGCAACTCAGTTCTTTAGGTAACCCCTGGAATGACCTTTGACCTTAGGTTTTCACTGAGAAGTGATATTTGTGCTTGCTCTTCAGGGGAGCATGCGTGTCCCAGATGGGCTCTGGCAACATCCCATTCGCAGGAACAAGTTCAAATACCTCATAGACCATCCCGTCTGTCTGACGGGAGCTGGAAGGTAAGTGAACAGGGGGTAAGGGAGATGGTGAAAGTGGAGAAAGATGAGGGCTTGGAACATCCCTACTCTTCATGTCTAATGGCTGTGATAAACACTCAAGTGTTGGCTGGGAAATAAACAAGTGGAAGTGCTGCCCAACAATCTGGAGAGATTTTTCAGGGCAAGGTGTTTTCCTTTGAGATCAGTAATTCTTTTTTGGAATTACTCTTTTCCACAGGAGTCAAGTCTCACACATTTATATAATCCAGGATTGCTGTGAGGAAGCCCTGCCTATATTTAATAGATTTGGAAGAGGATGCAGCTCTCCTATAGCCTTATGGCAGCTCCTTGTAAATTAACATTGCATTAGTGATGCCAGAGAAGTGGTAATGTTCCAATCATATGCTGTCCTTACCAGAAATTAGACACACACATATTTTGGCACATCAGTGGCAACAAGTCTGAAAAGCAACTCCCTGACCAGTGTTACTGCAGACAGTAGTTCCTAGCAGATTCAACTTCAATGAAATGATTAAGATGGCTAAAAATATCAGTGTCACCCTTCATTGGCCAAGTGTGATAAGATTCCAGGTATAGCCTTCATCAGGATGCACAGAATAATCCTCCCTTAGACTGTAATTAGCATTAGGAGAGAAGTGGAGTGCCTGGTGATGAGCTCAAGGAATAAGCACTTTCCTCTATTTCCTCAGGGATGTCTCGTTTCTATATGACATAGCTGGAAAAGAAGATGAAAGAAAGATGTCTCCAGCAAGCCCTTTAGCTGAACCACATCGTTATGGTTCATCCATGACTAGTGCTGTGAGTGCTAAAGTTTGATAAATCTTTCTCATTTCATTTGAGCCCTTGAACATAGAGATCAAAAGGTTTCTTCACCAGTCTGAAACCCTGCTAATTCTTCTTTACCTTTCCCAGTATTAATGTATGTTTAAGAGCAAGATATTCATAATAATAGTCACTGTGGGAATGGTGGAAAGTGTAATTCAGTTACTCCCTTTCAGCCTGTCTCAGCTGGAGTGCTTGCAGAGAATGGTGCAAGAGCTCTGGTTTCGTGGGATTTCAGTTCAAACTCTATCAGGTCTAGCTTTTTCCAGCCATAATTATTTTAAGCAATAATATAGCCACACTAACTGTAATGGGGGGCCAAGCTGTTCTTGCAGGCATAACTGAACAGAATGCTGTGCTTCCATTTTGAACCCTTCCATTTTGATGTGGCTATAAAGATTTTAAATTTGAACCAGCTTTAGGTGTAGATTTAGGGGCAGATTTTCAATTGCACTCTGCATTGCTCTAACTCTGTGAGAGTTTGGCTAATGTTGATCTGTGTTGGATTTAGGCCTGGTTTCCCACCCAGCACAGTCTTTTAATCTGTTACCCTTTGATCTAATAACTCACTGCTTTTTTTTGTGTGGCTATACAATTTCTTCAGCAGCAGAAAACCTCCCATCTCACAGTCGGAATTCAGACACACGTTTATTTTATGTCATTAATTTACATTTATTTTAGATTTGTGAAGTGCACCAATCATCCAGGTTCTCAATACATATATGGAGAAATGGGAAAGCAGTACAAAAAGCTTCTGCATAAGGCTTGCTCTGTAAGCAACCACAACAAATATCCCTTCTGGGGGATAGTGGGGGTTTGTGTGCAGCTTTTACCAATGTGTTTCATGTTCTGATGTCTCCGTTCTGTCCTTTGCAGACAAGTGTAGCAGATAGCCTGGTCCCTGAAGAATTTCACATAGTGAAGAACAAAGGAGTCTTAGGCTTGGAGTATTATGATGAGTGAGTGCTTGTATGGTTTACAGAGAATTCTCCTCAAGGTTTAATGGCCTGGCTTGCACTATAGAGTGGGGCAAGGTAACAAGGCCAAGAACACTGGCCAAATATATGCAACCTAATCAAGGGGTGAATAGTATATAAAGTCTGGTTTAGCAGTTGTGTTAAGAGCATATCTAGAAAAACAGCTGCAGAAGAGATGTCAGGCAACACCTGTCCCTGCAGAGCTGTCTGAGCAATGCTCTTACATCCATTGCTGTGTGATGGCTAAAGAGGGCCAAACCTCTCTTTTTTTTCATTCCTCTGACTACCTCTCAAGAATTGGGCTGTCAAATGTATTTCTGGTTGGGTCTGAATGTGGCAGTAGAAATCTGATGAGACCACGGAATTACAGACATATAGGGTTGGAAGGGTCCTCAAGAGGTCATCTTGTCCAGTCATTTGAGGGCAATGCTGAGAGACTCCTTAAAGTCTTTGTTGGCTTTTGTATGAGTTTAATTGGAGTGTGTCTGTCTTTTTACACTCTATCTACCTTTTAGAACTGCATTCTGCAATAAAGCTAGACAGGTTCTCTCATCCCACATAGTGGATCTTCAGTGCCGCAGTTGAAATCCTGAAGCTACCCCCTCAGGTTTTCCACCTTTTAGTCTTCCTAGCTGTGAGGCTTGAATTGAGTTCACCAAACTTTGACCAAAGAAGTCTAAAGAGAGCTCTTTTAAACCCTCAACACCATGCCTTAAATTTGTTGGAGTCTCATATTCTCTTCCTTCTTTCTCCATCAGGGAATAAAAGACAGAGATTAGGAATTAAATCCCAGACTTCTGAGTGGCAGGATATATAATGTTGTTAATATAAGTAATATTAATAATAATATTAGTATTGTGTTATACTTTTTTATGTATTTGTATTATGGTAGCACCCCAGACATGCACCAGAAGTCCATTGTGCTATGTGCTGTACAAACACAGAACAAAAGGGCAGTCCCTTCCTCAAAGAGCTTACATTCTATACAGCACCTTTGAGGCAGTCCTGAATTCTACAGCTAAGCCAGAATATTGTCTGAGGCAGGTTTCAAAATTTATGTTTGTTTTACAGTAAATACACAACTCTACTTGAAGATAGTGAAAATAGATTGCGGCTATTCCCATCCATGTGAGTACTGCCCTGCACCACGTTGCTATTAGAAAAAGTGACAGTATGGATTTAATTTCTGTGTAATACCTTGTAACATTTTATATAAACTAATGGCACTTCCTTTCTACCCTGGAATTTTAGGAAACCATCTGGGAGATTAGAGGTCATCCAGCTGATGAAGGTGATGGACACCATGCTGGAGAAGGCTGGAGTAGATGATGAGCAAATTGGGATAACAGGACCTTCACAGGTAATGTCTTGTCAAAATCCTGAGAAATAACATCTCCTCTACACTAGAGTTTATCCCCTGCAATATTTAAGTGGTCTCCCAGTTGTCTGATTCTAATGCTATACGCTACTGTGGGTCTTCCTTCTCATCCTGGTACTACTAATGGAGACTGTTCCTTCTTGAGGGTATCCCCTTGGGATTTGGTCTGATTTATGAAGACTGACAGGTTGGCTCCAGGGCATTAGGTGTTGGACTTTCCTGGTGCAAATGTTGCCAACAGGGGACCTGTTTTGAATGGCTAGTGTGAAAGAATTAAAGCAGCAGATTCCTGATCTCCTGATTGTGACTACAAAAGGAGACCGAACACTACCGATGCAAATTGACTGGAGATGTTAAATGCTGGGCTTTCAGAAGCCTGTCCAGGCTTGAAACAGGATGTCAGAGAATCTCCCTATCTTAGGGCTATGTTCAGGCATTCCATGTACAGAAATGGGGCAGATTTGGACATACAGGGTGAGATATTAAAAAGCACTCAGTATCTGCCTAACTGTTCCCATTGGAGTTAGCAGAAGGCTCCCATTGACTTTGATGGGAGCAGAGTTAGGCCAGTACTGAGCACTTTTGAAAACCGTACCGTTGAACTCATGCACAATGACTCCTTCTCCAGTACACTCTACATTACCATTTTCTTCTGAAAAAAATCTATCACAAGGGTTTTGTTTTTTAAAATCAAACTTTGTCCAGGATTCCTTTATCCCAAAGTCATCGCTGTCAAAGAGTAAATTCCTTGACAAAGCCTGCAAAGATCCTGGTTTTGTTTTTTGCCAGTTGCACAATGTATTGGAGGTTCTGAAGACAGAGCAGAACATTTACAACATAGTGTTCCATGAGCTGATTCGACAGGTCAGTGTGGATTGTGCAGAGAGAGGAGAACTGCTTTCTAAGCTTAGGTGAGAATTCACAGAGTTCCCTTTCAGATTACGGCTGTGTTCTGACTAGCCTGGTATTTCATAAAACCATGTTGCCTCCAGGAATGTTAAGAATAATTAACTGTCACTCTCCTCCGCACCACTGCCCTGTTCTCTATAAGTGATGTCTAGTGGGAGAAGTTGTGAGTAGGACAGTTGAGAGCTCCTTTGTGATCAAGGTTTTTACACCATTCTCTCAGGGTATGTCTACACTACGAAATTAGGTCGAATTTATAGAAGCCGGTTTTATAGAAATCGGTTTTATACAGTCGATTTTGTGTGTCCCCACATAAAATGCTCTAGGTGCATTAAGTCGGCGGACCGCGTTCACAGTACCAAGGCTAGCGTCGACTTCTGGAGCGTTGCACTGTGAGTAGCTATCCCACAGTTCCTGCAGTCTCCGCCGCCCATTGGAATTCTGGGTTGAGATCCCAATGCCTGATGATGCAAAAACAGTGTCGCGGGGGGTTCTGGGTACATGTCGTCAGGCCCCTCCCCCTCCGTCAGAGCAACGGCAGACAATTGATTTGCGCCTTTTTACCTGGGTTACCTGTGCAGACAACATACCACGGCAAGCATGGAGCCCGCTCAGCTCAGCTCAGCTCACCGTCACCATATGTCATCTGGGTGCCGGCAGACGTGGTACTGCATTGCTACACAGTAGCAGCTCCTTGCCTTTTGGCAGTAGATGGTGTGACAAAGTTCCTCCTCTATCTTGGTGGGTCCTGCTCTTATTGGCGGATTTTCTTGCCTCAGAGATTCACCATGTGGGTTGGGGAACAGCCCAGAGACCTTCCCCTCTGGAAGAACCCACAGTCCAGGTCAATTGGGAGGGTTGGGGGGAACCCGGGCCCGCCCTCTACTCCGGGTTCCAGCCCAGGTCCCTTTGGACTGCAGCTGTCTATAGTGCCTCCTGTAACAGCTGCATGACAGCTACAACTCCCTGGGCTACTTCCCCATGGCCTCCTCCAAACACCTTCCTTATTCTCACCACAGGACCTTCCTCCTGGTGTCTAATAACGCTTGTGCTCCTCAGTCCTCCAGCAGCATACCCTCTCAGCTCCTTGCGCCTCTTGCTCCCAGCTCCTCACACTCGCACCACAAACTGAAGTGAGCTCCTTTTAAAACCCAGGTTCCTTGATTAGCCTGCCTTACTTGATTCTAGCAGCTTCTTCGTAATTGGCTCCATGTGTCCTAATTAGCCTGCCTGCCTTAACTGGTTCTAGCAGGTTCCTGATTACTCTAGTGCAGCCCCTGCTCTGGTCACTCAGGGAACATAAAACTACTCATCCAGTGACCAGTATATTTGCCCTCTACCAGACTCCTGTACCCCACTGGTCTGGGTCTGTCACATATCCCTCCCCCCTGCTCAACGCCAAGGGGTTGGGCAGCTTGGGATGCCAGACAGTGCACACGTGACAAGCCATCGGCGATGCCATGACGGCTCCCTGCTCTGTGTTGCACATGGAACTGGAAAGGTTGAAGGGATAAGAACCATCTGGTCACCCTTGTGTTCTTCTCCTTGTTCCGCTGCATCCATTGAAGAGGGGCACGGTTGGTCACGAGGACAAATCTGCACCCGAGCAGGTAGTAGCACAATTTTTCCATGGCCCGTTTTACAGCGAGGCATTCTCTCTCCACCACTGCATATTTTTGTTCCCTTGGAAGGAGTTTCCGACTGAGGTATAGAATTGGGTGTTCCTCCTCCCTGACCATCTGTGATAGAATGGCCCCCAACCCTACTTCCGATGCATCCGTCTGCAGGATAAATTCCTTGGTGAAATCAGGGGCTATCAGTACGGGGTTACTGCAGAGGGCAGTCCGTAGGTCTGTGAATGCTTCCTCTGCTGCGTCAGACCATCTCACCAGATCAGGTCCACGGGCTTTTACTAGGTCTGTCAGGGGGCTTGCCCTTGTGGCAAAGTGGGGGATAAATCGTCGGTAATACCCCACCACATCTAGGAACGCCCGGACTTGTTTCTTGCGACTTGGTTGGGGCCAATTTTGGATGGCCTCTAACTTGTTCACTTGGGGTTTTACCAAATCTTTTCCCACAATGTAGCCAAGATATTTGGCCTCTGTAAACCCTACAGCATACTTGGCAGGGTTTGCTGTAAGGCCAGCTCGCCTGAAGGTATCGAGGACTGCCTCCACCTTCTCCAGGTGGGTTTCCCAGTCGGGGGTATGAATGACCACATCGTCCAAGTAGGCAGCAGCATAACTGTTATGC